CAATAGCAACAACCTGCAGCTGAAAGAAATTGGAAATATCTCCAATTGATTTCCAGATGATATAAATCAATTGAGTACAAGAAAAAAGTTTTTTTTTTTTCTTCCAAATTGGATCTCAAAAAATTCAAAATTTCTTAATTGAGTTTCTTTGCATATATGTTCCAATGGCGGACGGGGTGAGTAACGCGTAAAAACTTATCTTTGGAAGGGAAACAACAGTTGAAAATGACTGCTAATACCCTATAAGTTGAAGAGTAAAAGGAGGAATCGATCTGAAGGGGTTGTCAATACGTTTCATCTAGATTGCATGGCTTATGTAATTAAAACAACCCCGTTATCAAGAGTAATTGAGATTCTTATTTGGAAATTTGTGATGATTTTAAATGGAAGGAATCAATTGATGAGAATTTGTGAATCTTAGGGATCTAATTGAGAATTAAGACTCTGTCGGGACTCATTTGAGATCTACTGTTGGTCGGATGGGTTAATTATATGGTAACATTAACTGTTAGAATGAGAAAGAAAATGAATAAAACAGGACAAGTAAACAGAAGAGGAATTGATTTTCTATCGAATTTTCTGTTAATTTATTGAATTTTAAAATTATATATATTTTAAAAAAATTAAATTTTATTATTTTCATTTCGAATAAAATTAATAATATTTCTACTATACGATAAAAATACCTACGTAAAAAAAACACATACGTATATACACACACGCAAAATCGAGGATAAATTATAAAGAAGCCATGAATAAAATATATTATCATTTAGCTCACCTTCAGTATGCTGTAAGTTAGCCTCTAATAAGTAATTAAAGAACTAGAAGCACCAATTTAAATATGCTTTTGTTTTTTAAAAACTTAGCACTGATGAGCCATAATGACAGGAAACTTTTTTATAAAAGGAAAAAAGAATATATATATATATATATATATTCCTCGTCAGTATAATGCATTCAGATGAATAAATTTTTCTAAGTACTAATATCAAAGTTTAAATCTTAAAAATTAAGAAACAAAAAATTTTTTTTTTGCAATCAAGTCCACCTCTTGAGATTAAAGTCCTTTGCTTTGATAATATTAATAACATTGTCTGCTTGAAAATTTTTTAATGGGTTAATACTTGTGAGGTCTTTCTGCTCTTGATTTCATCTTTAAAAAAGTCTCTTTATTTTTCTTTATCGTAGTCTCATCCTTCAACATTTATTTTTTATAATTATTATGTTATTTCGTTAATGTTTTGGACTAATGTTGTTAAATCTCAATGCTAAATTAATAAGATTGTGACACATGTTAATTAATTTTATTTTATTTTTTACATAATGGAAATGAAAATGAATTTTGAAAAAGAAAAGAAAAATGCTACTGAAAAAAAGAGGCTATATAAATATTAAAGAGGGATGAGAAAGGGATTGAATTAATCGATTGAGAAATTAGAGTTAAAGGAGAATTGGAGGTTTTTTTTTCTACTATTTGTATAGCCTTTTCTTTTTCTAGTGTTTATTTTTTTTCAAAATTCATTTTTGATTTCCACACAATAAAAAAAATTAATTAATACGTGTCACAATCCTATCAACCTAACGATGAGATTTAACATCATTAATTTAAAACATTAACGAAAGGACATAACAATGACAAAAATCAAATGTTGAGGTATAATTAAAACAGAAAAAGAGTAGAGAACCTGTAGAGATGAAATCAAGAGTAGAAGGACCTTTGCAAGAATTAACACAAATTTTATGGAGGAAAAATGAAAGGCAGAAACAAAACAAAGTGTATCGGCTACCGGATCCTAATTGAACGTGGATCATAAAGCTTCTATATGCATCCTTCTATTTTTTATTTTGTATTAGTTTCCCCCTTTTCCTTTTATTTATCATAATTTACCCTCTCTACTTTTAAATTCATCTTGGTTTGATTCTTATTTAAACGAAAATTAGGGTTGTCAGTGTCATGCAGTATTTATATTGAAAATTACGTATACTCATTAATTTTTATTAACCTTTTGTTTTCTTTTTTCTTTCTTCTTCCTCCTCCTGATTCTCCTTTTTTCTCCACTATGGCTGCCACCACTTCATAGCCCATAAAATCGCCGAAAACCACAACCATCAAAATTTTAGTGGGAGAGAGAGATGAGGAAGGAGATCGACGAGGAAAAGAGAGAAGGGACCATAGTGGTAGTTTTTAACAATTTTGTGGGTTATGAAGTGACAGCAGCCATGGTGGAGAGAGAAGGAGAGTGGGAAAAAAAAATTAATGAGTATATGTATTTTTCAATATAAATACTCTATAACACGGGACACGTGTCAATATAATGAAATTTACTGGATAATTGACTGACAACTCTAGTTTCTAGTAAAAACTCAACTAAGGCAGAATTAGGATTAAAAAAAAAAAATTTAATCTAAAAAAAATAAAAGCGGAAAACTATTACCAGTTGAAAAACAGAGAGGCATAAATGCTTTTAACCAATCAAAGATGTGGGGATGTTAAGAAGAACGTGGGGGGCAGGAGTCTGAGGTTGTTAGGCAGTGGAAAAAACGCATCAAAGCAGATTCTAGAGTTGGGTTTTTATTTAAATATTTCAATTTGTTCTTGTATAATTAATACCTAATGATTTTTTCTGTTTTTAAGTTCTTAATTACGTCTTATTTATCTTTAAATATATTTAAAATATTATATCTATCTTTCAAGTCTAATTTTTTAAATAAATAAATTTTATTTTATTCCGTATTTTAATAAAAATTATTTTAATAAAAAAAAGAAATTTTACAATTAAAAATTTTGATGAAAAAAACAGATTGAATATTTTAATTTTTTCAGAAACATATGTGATACAATCGAAAATTTAAAAACATATGAAAGATATTAGGTATTATACAAAGACAAATAGATATATTTATCCAAAATTAAAATAAAAAATAAAGTGTAAAGTGCATATTTATATTAAAATAAAAACATAAAGTATAAAGTGCAGAATTAGATTAAGGCATATGGCAGGGAAAAAGAAGAACTAAACCTTAGTGAAGTCGAGATGCCATGATTCCGGAGTGGTTCTTTTGGGGTCAAATGATTAATTATGCCTAATTATATATATAATAAACTATAAAGTGTAATACACAATCACACACTTACATCATTCAATTTTTCTTTCCATTCCAAAGGTGTCGGTTCAGACGGTAAATTTTATTAATTTCAAATTTGAATTTAAGAATTTTTTATTAAGATGTAATTACAGAGTGAAATAATTACTCAGCGATAAATTATAATTATATCCAAATGTGAAAAAAAAATACTATACTTTTCAAAATTTGGACAGATCATTCATTATATTCAAATATTCATGATTAGTCTGACGTTTTGTCTAAGTTTTTAGTAGTATAGAGTTCGAATACAAATCTATTTTATCGTATAATTATCTTAATTTAGAAATAGTTTCAATATAGAAAGTAAATTAAAAAATATAACTTAACCTTGACGAATGATTTCTTTTCTTGGAAAAATTTTATAATACACAAGTTACTCCTTGGATTCACTTTGATGAGAGAGATAGACACATAAAAAGAGAAAAAAATTATATTCATATCCATTAAAAATGATAAGAAGATTTTCACGTCCGTTCAAATTTATTTATTTTTATTTTTATATATATCTATTTCTATTCTCAAAATGAGCTCAAAAAATAAATATTATAAATAACACTAATTACTTCTTATGTATTATAAAATTTATGTTTTTCTTGAAGTCACAAATGAGGCCTTCTGCTTCTTTTACATGCTCTTTTTCGGTATCCATCGATCAAGAAGTGATTATGACCAGATGCATTGGTGTACGAAGTCCATTAAAATAATAGGACTTTTGTAATTTTGTGGTTTATTATGGAGGAGAAGGAAGGATGGTTTATTTTCTTTTGTTTAGCACATTATTGAGAGGGTATCGGAATTATTTTAAAGGAAGGAAACAGATAGCATGACAAAGCATGATCAAATAGCTACTATCTAGCTAGCTTTTGCATTGACATATGTGGTTCCCACTTGAGGCTTATCGTGTGATCACACGGCAGGAAATGTGTCTGTGAGGAAAGCGCAAAGTGACTCTAGCATCATGTGGTGATGGAAGAGCTGTTACGGGATGATGGCTTATGCATTGACTTTTTCTTGATGAAATATGAATTATTTTAGTTCTTGCCATTCATGGAAGCCTCGAATTGTGTATAAAAACTTCACATAGCATTAATGGTTGGCACACACATTCAGTCACTTTCTCATCATCTTCCTTACCTTCCCTTGTTGAAAATCCCAATCTCTTTCTTTTTGTTGCAACTATTAGCAATCCCTAGTGCTCTCTTGTTTCTCTCCATTTCTTCTTCTTCTTCAGCTTTCATGGTCTGTGTAATAGGATTTGTTTTGTTTTAGTTTTGAAGCTGGATCGGTCTATCTCCAACGTTCTTCCTTAGCCAGACCTTTATAAAAACATTCACAGCATGTAAGTTTTTGCGTCTCTCAAAAATCCCAGAAAACCCTCCCCAAAAACAAAAAAAAGAAAAGAAAAGAAAAAGATTTTCTATGCATAGAGTGCTTCAACTCTAGCTATCTTTACCTTGTAGTTTTGTAATCTGGCTTGCTTCATTTCTCCTATTCCTTAGAAGGAAATTTATAAAAACCAGCAAAGCATGTAACTATATTTCTTCCTCATTTCCACCATTCCAAACACCAAAAAAAACCCAAAAAAAATTAGTTGTAGTGGTCTAATATGTTTCTATAGCAGGAGATACAATTGTCCTTTAGAGTTGATGATCCTCCTGGCAAAAATCAAAATCACCCCGTAGAAAAAACATTATAAAAACCTTCAAAACATGTAAACAGTCTCTCATTCCTATCCATCCTTTAATCATCTCCCAAAAAAAAAAAAAAGATTTGTTTGTATCGTTTCAGTATTAATAGTACTCCTCATCAAAACACCAACAAAAAAAGAAAAAAAAGTTTCAAAGAGGAGAATGCCGGAGTCAGAAGTTGGAACACCGGCGGTGTCGGCACCGAACACGCCGGGGACACCTGGAGGGCCACTTTTTACAGGGCTGAGAGTGGACTCGTTATCTTATTCAGACAGGAAAATAATGCCGAATTGCAAGTGCTTGCCTGTCAATGCACCAACTTGGGGTCAACCCCACACGTGCTTCCTTGATTTTCCTGCTCCTGATGTATCTCTTACTCGCAAGGTAACCTCTCTACTACCTTTCCTCCTTTTTTATGCCTCTTTTTTTGAGTCCCACTGGCTGCAATGGTTAAATTTCCACCTCCCCATCAAACGTGCAAAAGTCTCCTTCCACACCTCTGTAGAACTCTAACCGAACTCATTGATCGAACTGGTTACATGTCTGTCCGGAGTTTATCCGACCTACATTCAAACAGTGTGAATCCGAATTCTAAAAACAAAAATACATAAGTTGTAATGTCAAATACACGTACATTACATACTTTAGAACACTATGATGTTAAAAATTACAGTATAATTATAATGATCCGTTTATTACATACAATAATTTTCATTGTTTGATGTGTTTGTCAATTTTATATGCATTGCTTAAGCTAAGTTGTCATGATGTTTAGTTCATTCAATTTTTCTCTCTTATTGAATGCTCTTGATAACAATTTTACAGTTTTTTCTTGCAATGTTTGACTCCATTATTTCGCGAAGGGTTTAGAATCATTGAGGGTTAGGTGATCTTGGGGAAATTTGGGCGGTGGGAGATTGTATTTTTATCTTTGATTGTGACAAACAAAAGGGCTTCGTTTATTTGATGTAATAGGAGAGTGATAAAAAGGTATAAGCATGCATCCAATTATCAACCTCCGACAGGTTTAGTAGCCATTCAATTCTAAAGTCCAAGATGGTGGGCCGTGGGGTTTTTACCCTATTTCCAAATCTAAATTAATGTGATTTGCCTGTTTAATTTTTTTTTTTAGTTGGCCAAAAGTCAAAGGAATTGGAACTCCAACTTTAACGAGTCTTCAACACTCCAAATTCAACGGCATAGCAAATTGTTGGAGTAAATTATAAATTGATACTTCTAGTTTGGCAAAAATGAATTATTAGTACATTTATTTTAAAAAATAATTATTTAATTTTTTGATTAATTTCGATCAATGTTGATTGCTCTTAATTTAATATATATTTATTTTAAAAAATATTTTATTTTATCGTCAATATTTTTATAATATCAATTTTTTATTCTACTAGGCTTCTTATAGGACCTTAAGTATGTGGTTGGAGATAAATCAGGTGACAGTGGTGAAAAAAGATAATAACTATAAGTGATAAATGTTTTGACAAAATTCCAAAAAATAATAAAATAAAATAAAAATTGAATGGAATTAATAAATAGCCTTGGAAGTTGAAAATATAGTTGAGAACCAATAAAAGAGAGTTGATAACAACAAATAAATAATAATAATAATAATAAAATCATCTTATCACCTACTCAATAGATTATGTTAGGACGGTTTGAGAGTATCATCATCATCATCTTCTTCTTCTTACAAGGTAATATTTCTATCTTTGTCTGTTGAGAACAACCTAATAAAACATTAGAAAATTAGGATTGGAATATATCATATGACCTTTCATGATCTGGTTCTATATGGAGCCAATTCATGTGAAGCTAAAATTTTCAACCTCCATTCTGCTTACTTTTCATTTGGCATGTGAATTGAATGAGTTCTTCTTGTTTTTTATTATGTCAATTAAGTACTATAGATAACTTTACAAGTCACCAATCAAGTCTCCTGGCTGGATTATCTTTTCATCAAGGAAAATAATCTACCAACAAACATTTTATACAAAATTTACATATAAATTTAGGTGTCCATCTATAAGTAGTAAAATTGAATTTTATAAATTTTAAATGATTGTTTTTTCTTTTCATCAAGGAAAATAATCTACCAACAAACATTTTATACAAAATTTACATATAAATTTAGGTGTCCATCTATAAGTAGTAAAATTGAATTTTATAAATTTTAAATGATTGTTTTTTCATAAAAAGAAAATAATTGTGACATATGTTTGTATTTGAATTTTGTATGACAAATTTGTTTGTATAACATCAGTTTTTGATTAAATGCTAGTTATACAAGAATATTTATTTCAAATGAATATTTTAAATAATATAAATAATTGATGTTTGATTCCATGTGGGTTTCCACCCGTTGATTATTATAACAATAAATACTTGATATTGTGAATTAATACAACATATTCTAAATGGCTTAAAGTTGAATCAGTACACCATCAGTATCATTAATCCCAACAATGCTTGTAGATTATTTGAAGATTAAAAATTAATTCTAATTAATCCAAGAGCGTTGGTTTAAGTGAAAGAGATTCTAGTCATTTAAGTAAGTGGTCTCGGTTTTGAGTATTTATGCATGCAGAAGACTCTTTGAGTAGTTGTGTTTATTTTGTGTGCTCGATGGAACAACGAGATATTAATCTAGATCTACGGTAACTTAGAGATTCAAAAAAAAAAAAAAAAATGATTCAGATTAACCTTAGCATTGTTTAAATATGGGGTTTTGAGTTTCAGAAAATGTAAGATTTTTAAGTTCAAAATTGTATTGGAAATATTAAATTTGGCTCTGTTGATGCAGCTTGGAGCAGAATTTGTGGGAACCTTCATCCTGATATTTGCAGCAACAGCAGGACCAATAGTGAACCAAAAGTACAATCACGCAGAGACACTGATTGGAAATGCAGCCTGTGCAGGACTAGCAGTGATGATCATAATCCTATCAACTGGACACATTTCTGGAGCTCATTTGAACCCATCACTCACCATTGCTTTTGCAGCTCTACGCCACTTCCCTTGGGTGCAAGTGCCTGCCTACATTGCAGCTCAAGTATCAGCTTCCATTTGTGCTTCTTTTGCTCTTAAAGGAGTCTTCCATCCCTTCATGTCTGGTGGTGTTACTGTTCCATCTGTGGGCATTGGCCAAGCTTTTGCACTTGAGTTCCTCATCACTTTCAATCTCTTGTTTGTCGTCACTGCCGTTGCCACAGACACTCGGGCTGTAAGTATTGTACTCATACTGATTCGTTCCTCCGCATACATGATCGTCCACCTAGATAATATTTCATCCGACTAAAGAATCGAAAGATATGGATGCCAGTTGAGCTACAGCTCGTTGCATTCCGCCTCAATCTTCACTCATGCTTGAGAATTCGTGCCCGATATTTCAATCTTCACTCATGCTTGAGCATTCGTGCCCGATATTTCAATCTTCACTCATGTATATAATTAAGCTTACATATTTTATCTTTTCTTTCTCTTTAATGGACAGGTGGGAGAGTTGGCAGGAATAGCAGTTGGAGCTACGGTGATGCTGAACATTCTTGTTGCAGGGTGGGTAACTCTAATCTCTTCTTTCTTTAGTCAATCATTGATTTGTTTTTATAGTTTTTTTGATAATTTTTGGAAGAGAAACTAAAACTCAAAACCTTCTGGTTATAGCTTCATAAATCTATTAGGCTATATAACTGTTAGAAATCTTTTATGAGGGCTCTCTTATGAGGGTAGCTTAACTCCAGCAATACCTTACTTCTTCATTCTCTTTTTACATGATATTTTTGAGTTTTCAGATTCTATTCTTTCATGTATTATATACAAATCCTTTAGACCTAATTAAGTGAAGTAGATTGTCGTCATCAATAGGTTTCTGGTCTAATAATAGTGATTTTTTTGCATTTGCAAAAGATCATGAGTTTAAAGTTTTCATTTAGAGTTTTTGAATTTTTTTTAAAAACTTAATTATAAAAGAATGCTAGAATAACCTTTTATTTTTACAATGATAAACAATTTAGTTTGTTGTCGTAATACGATTTCTTTCATATCTTGCTAACTACTAACTAAAGCTCATGTGGCCTGCCAGGTCCTATCTATAATAATGATAATAAAAAAAAACCAACAACAACCATAAGTTGATAGTTGTCTCCAATAGCTTTTTTTTTTCCCCATTATTTCAATAATTAGATTTTGAGGATATTATTAGTGGTTGTGACAAAAAATAGAAAGAAGTTGAAATACAAGTAGATAAATGCAGCTCAATTCCATGTAAAAGGCCTTGTATTTTCAAAATGATTTGCAATGGGAAATTATCATCTTGCTTACTAGAAATATCATCTATAGGGGTCACCCTTCAATAATTTAATAGGAAGAGCCTAAAACTGTCGTATGTGGTAGCAGTACTAATTCTCTGAAAAAGGTTGGCATGTTGGCCACATTAGCTAGGGGGATAAAGATAGCTAGAGAAATCATGAAAAGAATAGGTCTACCTAGCTAGATGAAGATGAAGGACAAAAACCGCATAAAACCAAAGCATAAGAAGCTAATCTATGATCGTCTGGTAGACATTAAAACATGCATGTTTGGCTAGCAGACATGCTTTCATGTTGTATTTCTATATATTGATTTACACTTTAGTCCAATTCTCGCAATAATAGATCAAAGAGAAGTTTTGTAGTACTCTCACATTTATCACCAAGTGATCATCAAAACTTGAAAAATATTGGAAAGTGAAGGTATATATCAATAATAAGTATAATCTTTTGGACTTGGGCAGGCCATCAAGTGGTGGTTCAATGAATCCAGTGAGGACTTTGGGGCCAGCAGTAGCAGCAGGAAATTACAAACAAATTTGGATTTATCTTATAGCACCAACACTTGGAGCCGTATTTGGTGCTGCCACCTACACGGCTGTGAAGCTCCGGGAAGAAGAGACTGATCCACCACGTCAAGTCAGGAGCTTCCGTCGGTAGGAGAAATCATGCAATATTGTTTGTGGGGTTCTGCTACTATTAGTAATTGCATGTGGGATAATATATATGTTACACGCATGATTAATATCTTTGAAAGTTTGTGAAGAATAAAAAGCTGATGTGACTCTAAGTCCACGGCCTACAGTGTGGTTGAATGATATGGTGCACTTGCAGTGATGCTCATCATCTCTTCAGTCATCATCTCTGGACGTAATATTGTGCTCGATGAAGAACTTTTTTTTGCGTGATTTGATTTCTGTGTGAGAAAGATATCTCACTACATCATTGTCTTTGTGATTTCTTGTGAAAATTGTCATGTGTAATGCCCTAAACATATATAAAATGAACGTGCAAGGATTGTATATCTACATCTTTGCTTATTGTATAATTTTTTTATCTAGCATTGTGGCTTTTCATTTCTGGCGATGTCTGGTTGGGATTCAATGAGAAGGGATTGGCAAGGGATATTATGAAAATGGAGGACAAGTGGTGTATCAGCAAAATGCTAAAAGGTGTAATAAGTTTAGATATCCCCCGTAAAAAGAAATTAGGAGTAAATTATAAATTAGTCCCTCTTGTTTCAAGAAATAAATTAATTAGTCTCTTTTGCATTAAAATTATTATTTAGTCATTTAATAAGCATTAAACATACTTAATTTAATATTATTTTTATTCTATAAAATCTCTTATTTTTCTATTAACCTTTTCATATTTTTTTTGTTTTCTATTTCTTGAAACAAAAAATCAAAATAAATTAAAACAGAGAAAAAAATGACTAAATTACAATTAGATTTTAAAGTATGATGATTAAAGGATTAGTTTTTGACAAAAAAAACTAATTAATGTTTCTCAAAACGAGAGGAACTAATTTATAATTTACTCAAGAAACTAGCTAAGAGGACGTTTGTTTTGAGTAAATATTTTACAAGTAAATGTTTTCCTGATTTTTTTTTAATATATGTTTGACGTAAAATTTTTGTAGGATAACTAATTAATGTAAAATATTTTACAATCAACTTATAAATTTAGTTAATTTGTAAAAAAATATTTTTTATTTTAAAAAATAATATTTTTTTGAAGACTCTGTTGGAAAAAAGGAGGAAAAAGTCAAAAAAAAAAAAAAAAAGAAGGAAAAAAGGAGCATTGTTCTTATCAAGGTGAAACATGAATCCTTTTTTTTTTTTTTGCTATTTTCCTTTTTTATCAACTAGTAAGCGGAAAAGACTAACGTCTCCTTTGAAATTTTGTAGTACCCACAATTTAGTTCTTGTGTTTCTATCAATTGAACAAATAAGCCCACAAGAAAATAAATCTATCACATTTACGCTATATTCATCATGTCGTCAATTCAACTTAATAGGATTAAATTGTAAACAAATGTTGACAAATATACCCTATAAGAAGAGACTATCTTGTTTACAATTCAATCAAATTAGGCTGAATTAATGAAATATGATGAATATAGGGCTAGATTTGATGAAAGTTTCTTATAACGGTTATTTTGTCAAAGTGATAGAAATATAAGGGCTAAATTTGGGGATTTTCCAAATTTTCTTTAATTATAACTTTCTTTGGTGAGGGGCAAATGTGTAAAAGACAAAAAATATATTATTTTTGTAAAAAAAGAAAAAATAAGGAAAATTACGAATATGTTCATTTTAAAAAAGTAAATGATTAACAAGTTTTATGATATTTTTATTGGATCAATAAGCTCGTTTTTCAAGTTTTTGTTCCAAATAAGTTCATGTCTTATTATATTTTTCTATCAAATCTTTAAAATACATTTGAAATTTTTTTTATTCATCGTTTTTCTTAGAAAATATTTTACATCAAGTTTTATTATATAATGATTTTTTAATTTTTGGCCATTTTTTTAAATTAAAGATTTATCATTGTATAATTTAATTCCTTTCAATTGTCATATTTCTTCAAAACGGTTTAGAGCACCTCATTATGCTAAAGATAATAATATTTTTATTTTTATAAACAAGATTTACAAATATAAATAATTATATTTTCTCCATTTACTATCGTAATTTCATTTGAATATAATAATGTTTTACAATAACAATAATATAAAACAATAGCTTACAATTTAAACTATTTTACAAGTGAGAAAAATTGGACATTCAAAAAAATTATTATGAAATTGTTTTTTAACCAAAACTAAAGCAAAGAATAAAAAGTCATTTATTTGATAGTTTTTTAAATATATAAAGAGGGTAATATAGATAGCACAATTAAATATGAACTTTTTGAAAGATGAAATATAAAAGTGTACTGATTGGTCTTAAAAGATTATCTTAAAACTTATTGACAAGTTGCTTTCAAAAGTGAAATTAAATGTACTTTTCCCATTAATTTTTCATATTTCCTACTTTAGTTCTTATATGCTTTTATTTTTTTATTTTTTTGTACATTTGCAAATAAAAATACATTAATTCTTTCTCATATTTTGTTTTTATTTCTCACGAAAAAAATTTACCCCCTTAGGATATTAAATATGGTTCTTTTTTTTTTTTTTTTCTATTTCATCAAGAGGCCCAAAAATTATGAAGCTATACAATAGAAGTAACCTTTTATTATATAATATAATTTTAGTGTATTGGCTCGCTTGAAGAACTACTAAATTTTACAATATATATATATATATATATATATATATATATATATATATATATATATATATATATATATATATATATATATATATATATATATATATATTGCTTATATATTAAGTATTTGGCATATAATTTTGTAATTTTTGTTCTATTATTTCAAAGTATTCTAGACTTTCTCAAATTCAATTTATTAGCTTAATTCGGTCATCTTTCATATTAATAATAAAAATTTAAAACAAGATTCTTAAAATATTATATTAATTAAGCTATAAAATATCAATTATTAAATTTTTTTCTCATAGAAGATTTTCTTTATAAGAAGAACGTTCGTATAGTTTAAAGATGATTAAACATTAAATCTAGTTGTTATATTTAAAAAATTAAAAATAGAACCTCACAATAATAGTAAGAACACAAAAGAATTTAATTGAAATTAAGATCTTATTTTTAGAAGCTCATTATTGTCTTCAAAAATAAAATTATAATTGAGTGGTCAATCATCTTTTGAAAAAAAAAAATTCTTCCTTATCAACGTAATCAAAGCATACGTACCATGGTAGTACTCATATACATAAATGTCTACAATATTAAATTTCTACTTAAATAATTAAGTAATATTGTAATTAAAAAACGCTTCAAGTTCTTTAGGTTAATCTTCTTATAAATTGAATTTTTTACCCACATTGCAAAAATTAAAAATTCAAATTTAATTAGTTAATTACTTCTATATTTAGGTGATGGGATGACTTTTTGGAAAATATTGGATTTTAAGGTTTAGATTTGTATTTACTTCATGAATTCAACTCTTAATTGGTTTGTTTCGCTTATTTTTTGAATATCGATCATTAACTTAAATATTAGAAATAAAAGATTTAGAATAAAAATAAAAGAATCAAAGTCAAATTTAAGGAATCGAACTAATATTTTAATATCAATACTACGTTTGAATATAGTAAAACATAATTTAAATAAAATTTATTTTTTTAATTTTTTAATATGAAAAATAATAATGAATTAAAAAATAATTTCTTCAATTATACTAATGGTAGTGGCAGTGGAGGGGAAAGAGGAAGAGATGACAGTATTAATAATACTGTGGAGTAATCAAAACAATACATTAAAAAATATCAATATCACCACTGTAGACCCTAGATTTTTGCTCATATTTCTAAAATTCTCCAAATTGATTTCCAAGAATCCAAAGGCATTTTCTTATAAATCTATACATTTTTCAGGTTTAAACCCATTTTTGCTATATTTTATTTTTATTTATTTTATTTTATGAAAAAGAAAAGAGAGCACGATGGAAAATCGGGAAAATAGTAAAAATACTAGAAGAGAGGGTAAAGAAGAAGAAGAAGAAGAAGAAGAAGAGAAAATACAAAACCAAGCCCAACAGTGCAGACCCAAGCAAAAGCTTGGTCCAAACTCGTTAAGCCTGGCCCAATTCTACGCATTTTCCATAGCATTACTAGTGCACGTTTGGTGATTCATGCAATGAAGGACGAGCAATGTACATGACGAGCAATTTCTTCCTTTTTTTTTTTAAAAAAAATTAAATAAAGCATTTATTGAAATTATAAAAAAATTATTTTTTTATTCCGATTTTAAGCTACCTATCATCTTTATTTTTATTTTTCATAACTTCAATAAATTTTTTATTTAATAAAAAAATAGAAAGAAAAAAATAAATAATAGATTCATCAAGGTCAAAATACAAGTGTTGTTTGTTTATACAATTTATTTAATACTGTCAATTAAATCACTTGATACATGGACCTGATTAATACAACAAGAAAAACGATAACTTTTTTTATTCCTTTTTTAAATTGATATATGTTATAATTTTAAATTACAAGACATAAGTAATCATTTTATGGAGAATTTTTAACAAGCATTTTACAACATCAACTTTCATTATTCAATTCGATTATATAAAATAAGATTGGCTTGGCCTTGTTGGTGCATTAAAAATTTCCAAAAAATCCAATTGGAATTTTTCGGTCAAAGGAAAATCGGTTGGTATACGAAGAAACGGTATGTCCTGGATCTATATTTCTCAAATCCAACGGAAACTGCATCTCACGTTGGTTCAGAATCAGAACCTCTATCATCAAATCAAAGGCACAAATGATCATCCATGAGATTTTGTTCAAATATTAAATGTTAGTGTTATGATTTTCCTTTTCTATTAAATCTTTAGTACCTCTTAACAAGAAGTGTTCGTACGTAAGAAATGCCTTTCAAACACAGCTATCAATGAAGTCTTTCATGCTTTGGGTACAGATAAAAAACACGACGAACACTAAGTCTCTCTCTCTCTATATATATATTATCCTCAAGAGAACATGACAAAAAGAAAAAAAAACTCTAAGA